TTAATATGATTACTGTTTAACTTCCATTTCGAGTGAAAGTGTTGGTTGAGGAGATTCGAAGGTCGGTTCCACCAGAAGACGACGGCGGATTCCTCTTGACCAGCTGTCGATTGGTTTTACTGGAAGATTCATGCTGACGCGAGGATTCGAAGGTCGGTTCCACCAGAAGACGACGGCGAATTCCTCTTGACCAGCTGTCGATTGGCTTTACTGGCATTGGAGAGACAAAAGATCAACATTGTTGGGATTACTTCCATTTCGAGTGGAAGTGTTGGGTGAAGAGATTCGGAGGTCGGTTCCACCAGAAGACGACGGCGAATTCCTCTTGACCAGCTGTCGATTGGCTTTACTGGAAGATTTGTCGGTTCCACCAGAAGACGACGGCGAATTCCTCTTGACCAGCTGTCGATTGGCTTTACTGGAACATTCACGGTGACGCTATTTCCGAGAAATCGCTTGTTTCATAATTGTTGAGCTTACTTTCATTTTGAGTGGAAGTGTTGGGTGAAGAGATTCGAAGGGAGAAAAGTTGGGTTTCGAGGAATCTCTTGTTTCATAATTGATGAGCTTACTTCCATTTAGAGTGAAAGTTTGGGTGAAGAGATTCGAAGTTTCCAGAAGACGACGGCGGATTCCTCTTGACCAGCTGTCGATTGGCTTTACTGGAAGATTCATGCTGACGCTATAATTGTTGAGCTTACTTCCATTCCGAGTGAAAGTGTTGGGTGAAGAGATTCGAAGGTCGGTTCCACCAGAAGAATGTTGGGATTACTTCCATTTCGAGTAGAAATGTTGGGTGAAGAGATTCGAAGGTCGGTTCCATCAGAAGACATTGAGCTGACTTCCATTTCGAGTGAAAGTGTTGAGTGAAGCGATTCGACGGTCGGTTCCACCAGAAGACGACTTGAGCTTACTTCCACTTCGAGTGAAAGTGTTGGGTGAAGAGATTCGAAGGTCGGTTCCACCAGAAGACGACGGTAGCTTACTTCAATTTCGAGTGAAAGTGTTGGGTGAAGGGATTCAATGGTCAGTGCCACCAGAAGACGACGGCCTTCCTCTTGACCAGCTGTCGATTGGCTTTACTGGAAGATTCATGCTGACGCTGTTTCCGAGGCAATCTCCCTCGATTCCGGTGAATTTTCTTG